ATCAAGTAAAAAGTTCTGGTAGATTTTGTCCAGTGTCAGTTACTTTTAATATATAAATAGCTGACATTTATAAAGCACCTTTTCCGAGTTGGGCTGTCTGGCTTATTATGACTTTAGTAATTTAACTGATACTCATCTCCTTCTGATATCTGTTTGATTCAACGACAGCTTGCATGCATTATTCTGTATTGTGACAAGTTTGTTTATATTATTTAAATCTGAAAGCAGGCTATATGGGAATTATGTTTTCCTTGACTTAGATCCAACTGTGCAAAACAATTTAAAACCATTCTGAGCTTAAATTTACTGAAATAAAGCTAATATAGAATTAAGCCCTTGCTTTAAATATCAAACAGCCTGCAGGGATATGAGAAATAATTACATATTGTTGTCAGTCAAGCTTATTTAGCTGTAAAAACAGAATGAACATTATTTTTCTTGCATTCTGAAATGTGTGTTGACAAGTTCATTCTCTGGTATTGATCTTATCTATTTGTTCTTGGGTTATCCTGTGGTTTATTATTGAGCTTTGCCTGTTTCTGTATTTTCTAGTTACCTACCTTACAATTTTTATTTCAGCTGAATAGAAGGGCATTTGCCATTTATCTGCTTCTTCTCATACATGCTCTCCATGTTCAATGCATAGCAATTGCTTTGGTCTACATCTATATAAGTAGCAGAATCCAGAGTAGCTGAGGTTCCCCCCAAGGGACTTGTTTTCCATCCTGTGCAAATATAATGTTTGATGTAGCAGTGTCCTCACAATATGATTGTTAGCTCACCTAATTCACATGCTTAGGACTTCTCTCCAGTTTGCTCCTTGTAGTGACAATTGGTATTTTCCCTATTTGGAAACTGTGAGTTCTCACGTTTTTACTTACTCATGATGAATATTAGCTGTAAGACTACATTCACAGGAAACACTAATTTCATGACATCAACATTTTAAATTCTCTTGTGATGACCTAGGAATGTGTGAATCAGCCATTTGCTCTTTTTCTTCCTTAAAAAAAAAGTCCATAAGCATTGAAAAGGTGCAGCAAGTTTTAAAAGACCACAGTGACACCTTACCTTCAAATTTGCGGATCCTGAGTAATGCAGAAGCAAGAGGCGAAAATGTATTTGGTCAGATAAGCTCATTGTGGAATGGACAGCACTGGACAAGGAGGAAAGAAAAGCAAGAGGAAGAGAAGATGTAAAGTAGGGATCCATAATTTTTTCACCCTAAAGGGTCACATTCTTGATGCTGCTGACATGCTGTGCCACACATATCTGCAATTCTATATACACACTTACATGCACTCTGAGGAGCAACAGATAGGAGAAGGAAGGCTGCCAGGGCTCATGGGTTTTGTGCCTTTGGCATAAAGATGCAATTGAATTCGCCAGCACAGAACAAATTCAGTGGCATTATCTAGGGCTGTCTTTCCATACACTGTGGTCTCATTCAGACTTGCGTAACTCAGCTTAATAAGGACAAGCTGTTGGCCTGCTCTGACAGATGGGAGCTTCCACTTACAGCCATGTGAAATAGGGGTAGGGTACAAGGCACTTTTTTGTAAATGTTGAATGTTGTGCTGTGATTTATAAGATCTCTTATAAAGGCCTGACCATGTGGAAATCCAGACTTATATTCTGTACCTATGAGCAGAGGTAGACCCTTCACCAGAGCTGCTTCTAGTTACAATATTATTCTGTATAGATCATGGAGGTTATGCATCTGGTTTTACTAAATGTGTAGAACACTAAGAAAAGGAAATGAAAGCAAGGAAAATTCCATTTATTGCATGAATCATTAGATTAATTATATTGTTTTCCATTTTACATTATCTTAGAACCAGGAAATAAGTATTCAAATTTGAAGAGGAATCATGATTTTATAAAAGTTCTAAACTCTCAAGTAAAGCCATAGGAAATTATTTGGTTTCCTCCATCCCCTATTCTGGTATTTCAATGTACTTGAGGGAATGATATGACCATACCTTTTGTGATATTTGTCCTCAGTAAGAAGTGAGGTAAATTATTATTATTATTATTATTATTATTATTATTATTATTATTATAACATTTCTATGCCGCCCCTTGCCGAAACCTCGGGGCGGCTTACAACATGATAAAATACATTGAAATACAATAGTACATAATAAATTACCATTAAATATGAAAATACAAAAAATACATTGATTTACAAATATAAAATTAAAATTATCAGTATAAAATAAAAATATAGGAGGAGAAAGAGAAGGAAGAAGAAGTTGCCCTGGCCAGATCATATGTTTTAACAATTGAAATGATGTTTAAATAAAAAGGTCTTTACCTGGCGCCGAAAAACCAGTAACGACGGTGCCAGGCGGACCTCTTTGGGGAGTGAATTCCATAGGTTGGGCGCCACCGCAGAGAAAGCCCTCCTCCGGGTACTTACTCTCCTAATTTCTTTCATGGAGGGTTCCCGGAGAAGGGACTCTCCCGCAGATCTCAAAGGGCGGTCGGGCATATACGGACATAAGCGCTCGTTCAGGTAGCCAGGACCCAAGCCGTTTAGGGCTTTATAGGTCATAATCAACACCTTGAATTGGGCCCGGGCTTCAATGGGAAGCCAGTGAAGCTGACGGAGGACTGGAGTCATGTGAGCATAACGCCCCATCCCCGTCAGCAACCTGGCAGCTCTATTTTGCACCAATTGAAGTGTTCGGACTGGACATGTACATATTCCATATTGCATGCAGGCCTTTTGTGTCATGCACTTTTGAGAACTTGTTATAGGAAAAAAATCTGGTCAAGGTATCTGTCTGACTTATAAATCTGGGATATCTTCAAATTTTGTGCAACTTCTTTCTGTGCATGGTGAGGCAGTTGGGAACATTCAGTAAACCCACCCACTGCTTGCAATAATTGAAGAAATAATGGTTAGCTTCCGACTGGTTGTTGTGAAAACTGGGTTTTTTTTGTTCTGTATTAGAAGTTTGTAAGTGCAACATGCATTGCTAATCTTTTCAAAAGAAGGATTTTTCAAGGTGCTTGAGAAGTAGTTTATGCTCTGAGAATGCTTGAAAAATACAAATAGTTCAAATGATTTGAACTATTCCTTTTGCTGAGCCTACTTGCATTGCTGACAAGTCATTCACAGATCTCTACCTTCCTGGTCATATTAGGATTTATGCCTAAGATTTAACCACAGCATGCTTGATTATTTGCAGTTTTTATGTGCTGCCAAATAACCACCATTCTCTGAGTGATAAACAATAAAAAGTTACCACCATAAAAATAAATAAAGCAACAAGATAAATAACATCTGAAAACAAGATAAAATAGAATATAACTGGAGCAAAAGCATTACAATCATAACTAATAAGCAGTAGAATATTTTGAGTTTGGAATGTTTGGGAAAATAGGTTTTCTGACTGACATTGAAAGGCGCTCAATGTATTTATTTATTTATTTATTTATTTATTTATTTATTTATTTATTTTTCGATTTATATCCTGCCTTTTTCCTACAAAGGGCTCAAGGTAGCTTACATCATTCTCCTCCTCCATCTTATCCTCCTCCATGTATGTGCCAGAGGAGACTTTCTGGGCATGGTGTTTTGCTTCCAGTTGGTCCCTACTGGCGGGCCATCTCTCTAGTAAACATCCATATCACACCATTTGCTAGGGGCTTTCTTGTGGGTAAAGAAACATGTTGTAACAGGGCTATACAAGAATGAATGCTTTATGTAAAAAAGCTTAACTTCTAATAATTTGGAAAAATGCTGAAGAGAAAGCTCCCAAGATTCCACAGCTTTGTGCCAATGCTGTGATTCTGACAGTAATGATCACTGTGAGCCCACAAAATTTTGCTAGTGGAATCATGAATCACCTGTGGATTCTAAAAACATTGGCCAAAGCCAGGTAATTAAAGAAAAATCTATCCATGACATAGTATTTGCAGAAAATACTAAGCAGGTGTTTATGATTCAGAATTTTGGCTTATCATTCATGAACAAACTCGCCTGTGTGTGCAGCCCAGTCGACATTTGCTTGTGTCCCACAGGTGGGAATGGCCAGAAACTTGCCAAGTAGTTGGGAAAGCTTAGTTGGCTGTCATCCTTTGAACAAGTTGACACCACAAGCCAGGGACTGTACCTGCTCCTGTTTGCTGGAGGAACCAAGTGGGACTGATCAAACACGAACATGTTTGCTGCTGAGTGATACACTGGGATTCTAAAAATTCTGGTTTAGTGTTTTGTGCCTTTGTAAGTAACAGCCCAGGCGACAGAAGCAGTGAAGACTGCATCCAGCACCCACTAAATGAAGAAATAGCTGTTATATTTGGGTGATTCATTCAGGAAGACAGCTGAAATGTTTGCCACTGAATGCAGCATCAACATCTAAATTGTGTAAGAAGTATGAACAGCTTTAATATACTTCATTTGAAACTAGAAATGGGGCCTGGAGCAGTCATGGATGGGCTTCAGGAATGTTAATTGTTCGCGTACATGAGGAAGCTTATAAATGGTTGTTTCTGAGGGCTTATTTTGCTCATCTGAAAAGCTGTCAGTGCTAGTATGAAGATGGGTGGATGAATCCATATATTACTTACACAGTTTCCTAATATGTTCAGAGTTTGATGGAAAGTGCTTTTAACTTACCATGAACTTATCTCTTTCAGAGTTACCTAAGCTTCAATACATTTGAAGTAGGGAAAGAACCATTATTCCAATCCATTATGTTATCATATCTCTAGAAAACACATGTAAGCAATTGTGTTGAATATTCATGTTTGATTCAAGATGTATTAAAAATCTGTGTATTTGGCTCTTCATACAGAAGCAGTTCTGGGTTGGTGGTCCTCTCAGCTCTGTTACTTTTTATTGTGCAAGCGTGTTCTTTCAGCCAAATTATCTGTTTTACTCATATTAGGAGTCAGACAGAAAAAGAGTGAGAAAATCCCAACAGCCTTGGATCACTGTAGCTTTGCACTGAAGACTGATCTTGTACTTTGTTTCGTTTCTCAACCAGGTCCGGTTGTATGCAAGACCTGATGCAATCCGAAGAGGTTCTGGGGATTATGCTCTAAACATTACTCGGAGACTAATTGAGTTTTATGAAGACTACTTCAAAGTGCCCTATTCCCTGCCAAAATTAGGTAAGGTTTTCCTGGCAAAACATAGCTTGTAAAGAGGAACAGAAACTGCACATGTCATTTTTAAGGCTAAAGATAATGGTTTAAATCCTAACATATGTTCACCAACAGCAGTTTTGTATGGAGTTTATTTTCAGCCAAGTGTGTTTTCCAGGCAAGGGTGTAAATTTCTTCTTTATGGAAGTTAATGGAAGAAAAAATTCCCATCCAGTCTGTTCCCTGAAGCTAATTTGGAGTGATTCCTCCCTCCCACAGCAGGCCTTTGTACCCACCCGGCATTGTTTGAGACATCTGAAGGGACTTTTCAGGTGCACAGTTGGCTGCCCTTGAAGTTATGCAAACTTCTCTAGGGTTATTTACCTTTGTAGCAAGCCAGATGAGTGCTAAATATTCATTTGTAACAGTAGGGAGAACAGGCTTGTATGCCTTTAGTCTAGTCTTAAACAATCCAATTGATAGGACTTTGCCCCACTTGAAAAGAAATGTTTTACTGATTTGTTCTAGATTGTGTGTGTGTGTGTGCCCACACGCTCAGCATATTTGAGCTTGCTTCCACTAGACATCCCTCAAGCTATATTAATTTGACTTTTTAAGACTCAAAACCATTAAGACTCTTTGTCACCTACAGAGCAAAAAGTATTCAAAAGCTGAGTTCTTTTCTTAATGATGAATTTATTATTGATATTATTTTGCTTATTGAGATGACTCGGTAAGGATAATCATAGGCTTGCTTTGTAGTTCAGTCAGTCTGAGCCTAAAAGTACATGTTTTCTTTCATTGTTTCTGGTAACACTCTTCTCCCACACGCTGGAATATTTCATGCTGCGTCATTATACCTGTCCTCTTGAGGAAGCCATGGGGCCAAGATCCAGAAAACATACTCCTCAGCAGCTCCTTTAGTGATCATGAGTGTGTTCTGCTTTCCAACCCGGGGTGCTCCTCCCTGGCGTTCAGCGCCTCTTTCATTAAAGCTCTCGCCTGCCGAGTAGCATCATTTGCAGCCTTGCAGCTAATGGTGTGGCAGGAGACACCTTAATTGAACTCTTGCAAGTGGGTGTTTTATGCATATTTAATAAGTGTGAAATGGCATTTCTTTTTTCCTTTCTTAATTGGTATGTTATATACGGTACCACACTAAAAGTCAAAGTAGTTGCACAGAAGCTTGTTAATATGAGATCACACTCACACCAGTTCATTGCTTTTAGTTTCATCTCTGCCTACAATTTGTGCAGCATAAGTGTTTGTCATGAAAATATGATGTGAGTTACAGTCTTACAGTGTGGGGAGAAGTCTTCTTCTTTCAAAATAAGCCAGTGATTAAAAGGAAAACGTCTTCCTAACTGGGAGAAAGACAATCAGAGTTGTTTAGTTCAGTTGACTGTGCATGATAGCCGAGTAACATGATAGCCAATATACATCATTTTCTGTATATCGGGTAAAGCCCTTGGTAGTTATAGGCAGCCCATAAATATGTGTATAAATAAATAAATAATAACATGTGGCCTTGCATTTCAATATTCTGTATAGGTTATTAGACACTGCAGTTTGTAGGCCGTATTATATTTAGTTGTGGTGCTACTGGTAGATTGAGCGGAAAGTGTTTGTTTTTTCCCATTTGTTCTGGATGGGGTTTCAGTTCTCTAAGGACCCAGCTTGTATGTTGGAAGTGCTAATCAGGCCCTTACTTTGGATGCCCAAGGGGCTTCTGTGGGTGATAACATGTTTTGGCAGTTGAAACTGGTAACCTGTAGCCACTCCTATGCCAGAGTAACGTCCAGGTTAGACTAGTGCCATGTATTGCACATACTGTTCGGAAACTACTTAGAAATTGGTTCAGAAAACCTGTAGCTACATTACTGGTTAGGGCTTAGTAGTAAGCACACACTACTACCATCTTAGAACAGCCTCACTAGATTCTCTCCATTTCCTGGTACAACTCAAAAGTGTTGATTTCATTTTAATGCTGCATCTGGTCTGGGCTTCGCACATCACAACAATCAACAGCAGTGAGTTACCAGAGTTTTTTGTCCACCAAAATGATGGTTTCCAGAAATCACTGTGGTAGTTTTCTTTCCACCCAATCCTGTGTGACTCTGTGGACACATGTTCCAGGAGCCATTACTGCATCTCTTTTTGGCTGCCTGTTCATAAATGATCCGCTGAGTGTGCCTCTCTGTTTCCTTCCTCTTCCCTTCAACCCTTTCTCCTACTTCCTGTAGCTGGTTGATATACTTTCTGTTGCCTGTTCCCACTGAAAAAAATAACCCCTATACATGTTGCCTCTTGCTTCTTTGCCCATGACCTTATTAAGTCTTTGCTTCCAGTTGTGTCTGGTTCTGCATAGCAATGCACTTCTTTTATTTCTCCCTGCTACCTCATGCCCATGCATGGCAGAGAACCTCCACTCTCTAGCAGTTCTTCCACCTATCCTGCCTCCCACCCGTGTTACATGTGTGAACCGGATATTTTCCACACCTTCCCTACCACAGAGCTTTTCTCACCCATTCAATCGCAGTTTAGCACTGATTTAATTTTTTCAGGCCCTCAATTGCTACCCAGCTTCCTTACCCTTCCCACTGCCAGAGCTGTGGTCCAGTTGTAATCTGCGGCTTCAAATGAACTATCAGCCTTCTTCTAGTAAAAACATAATTTTGAAACTAAAATGCAGATTTTGCATTCAGAGTTTAAAAGTAAAACCCATCCTACAATTAAAAGATTATTTTATTGACTAATTCAGATACGGCTATATTACTGCCTCAGAGCTTCTTCTGTATGCTGCTTTCAGGCAACTTGCTGGCTGTGTGTACTTCTAAAGGAATGATCCTGCAATGATGTTCTAGTTTCTCATTTCATAACTACTTAGATGATGATGATGATGATGATGATGATTATAACATTTCTATGCCGCCCCTTGCCGAAACCTCGGGGTGGCTTACAACACAGTAAAATACATTGAAATACAATAGAACATAATAAATTACCATTAAATACAAAAATACAAAAAATACACTGAGTTATAAATATAAAATTAAAATTATCAGTATAAAATAAGTAAATAAAAATATAGGAGGAGAAAAGAGAAGGAAGAAGAAGTTGTCCTGGCCAGATCATATGTTTTAACAATTAAAATGATGTTTAAATAAAAAGGTCTTTACCTGGCGCCGAAAAACCAGTAACGATGGTGCCAGGTGGACCTCTTTGGGGAGTGAATTCCATAGGTTGGGCGCCACCACAGAGAAAGCCCTTCTCCGAGTACTTACTCTCCTAATTTCTTTCATGGAGGGTTCCCGGAGAAGGGACTCTCCCGCAGATCTCAAAGAGTGGTCGGGCATGTACGGACGTAAGCGCTCGTTCAGGTAGCCAGGACCCAAGCCGTTTAGGGCTTTATAGGTCATAATCAACACCTTGAATTGGGCCCTGGCTATATTATTATAAGAGGAGAAAGCCTGTCAAAGTAAAGCAAGGAGCAATGCATGTGTTGCTAGGCAGACATTGGGAACAGAGATCAGGTGACCGGAGCTGCCACATGTTTTGCCTCTCTTGATGTGCATCACTGCAGGAGTTTGGAACCAGCAGCAGTAGACAGCTGCCCCTGAATCAGATGCCATGATTCAGACACCATGGTTCAAACAAACCCAAGTACTGATTGTTGTGTCTTAGCGGAGTTAGCAACAACGATCAGAATGGTCAATGGTCAAAATGTCAGTCCCATGACACAGGAAACAACCAACCATAACTAAACCATAGTTGGTTGCTATGTCAGTCTTTGCGTGGAAATGGGGATGTACTGTTGCCCAGTAATTTCAGTGAGGATAAAATTACTGCTGTTTCTATATAATTTGTGCCCAGCCTAAGAAAAATGCTTCTCATTTAAGGACTGAAATGGCATTTTAAACCATCTCTGCTTCCATATAGTGCATATTTCTTTGCAAGAATTCTAGAGGAAACAGCAGTAAAATACTCTTCTAGCAATAAGCTAATACTAAACTACTGTTGATTTTAATATAAACTTCTCAACAGCAGTTGAAGTAAATTGCAGATGCAAACGGTCTAAGGTTCTGTATTCATGGGGGAAATCACTTGGCTCTCATGATTTTACATTATGCACAGTGTATTTGGGGGCCTCTTGAAAGTTGGCATGTCCAGGCAATAAGGTATTTCATGTGTGCCAAATTGTCTTGATTTGTATACGCCAAATTTGTTTTAGTTTTCTGAGGTTGTTATGGAGCAACCTGGGATGTTTCAAGTAGTTTAGTCTAACTATCACGGCGTGCTTACTTGAAATTCTATTGCCTTGTAAGATACTGTACTTCTTAACACATTTTTATGGGTTCTTGCCCTTTTACAGTCCTTGGAGATATAGGGCTGTAGCTTGAAACTTGTATATTGGATTAATTTGCTTTTCCTCTCCATGCTATCTATATTTTTAAAGTAGCTTCTGCACTGGACACATGAAAAGTAGATATGTATACCATTGGATGGTATGGTCAACTTTTCAGATGTACAAACAATGTACAGTTCTTGTAGACAAGTGTAACCCAACACTATGCATGAAAAATCATTATCACAAATAAACATCTACTTCCATCAAAGAAAATTAATCCTGTAATTCTTCAATAGAAAAGTTCTTTTCTATATTATTAAACAACATTGGTTTAGATATTGGAATAAGATGAGCAGTCTCATATGCCAGGTTGTTATATCTGTACATATATTCTATTTATGTTAGTTATATTAAGTTTGCATAGTATAGCTATGCTTTAGAAGCCCTTTTTTAGGCTTGAAACATGGCATACATGTACATTTACCCAGTACTGCATATTAATTGATGAAATTTGTACTTCATAACATGCTAGTCTTTTTAGTAAAATTATGAAATATTTAATGAAATATATGGAATTTCTAACCTCCACTGATCTAGCTTGGATTACAGCCAAGTGAAATATCATGTATATAGTTCTGCTGACTATGTCACTTATGGGAAATAAGAATTTGAGGCATAT